ATGTGGCTGTGGCTGGGAGAGACGGTACCAAAGAGAACATGTTGTACATTGCACTAGGGCGTTTGAACTGCGTTCCAAGGGCATGCTCAGATGTTGCTTAATGTAAAGGAGCAATAGTCAAGCGCCTTTGCATAGCTGCGAATGCACTTTGCATCCTGACGGCGTAAGCTTGAGGCTTCTCTATGGAAAAATACTGATTTGACCCAGTATATTCTTCTGTACTAAACACAAATCTGCACTATCGTAATTCCCATTAGCCCTTTGAAGACAGATGCGTATTTCCAACTCTCCAGTGTTACTTAGATAGTGCCACTTGATATTCCCAGCTTTTTTGCTAAAATCTTAGGTAGGCCTTTCGGTCTTTTTATCTGGCTCTGTGTTCTACTATGAGTAGCTAATGTGGTGGCTCAGGTTTAACTTCAAAAAGACATTTTAAGACCATAGAGGCAGAGGAGGGAAAGGGAAAAAAAAAATAAATTTTGAACATACTGTAACGTTGCATTTAAACTTTTCAGGATCACTTTCCTCACTAGCTTCTAGGTTCCATGTAAAAGCCACAAAAGGCAGGAACAAAGTTCAAATTGTCTGCCGCCTCCTCCGAGTCTTGGGTTTCTGATGCGGCAATGAAGCTGTCACTCAACACGGTACTCCAGTAATCTTACCCAAATATGCTAAAACAAGTCTTGTTTGTTTTTAAAGATAAACTTAGTTACACAACACACTTAAATCGGTGATTGATCTCTGTTTGTGTTCCACTCGGACTGCCTGACTGAGACTTGCTTTATTTCTCCTTATTTTTGCCTGTGACTTTGGCTTTGAAATGTAGAGAGTAAGTTCTAATGTGCAGTGTTTGAATGGTTCCTTACTCTGGAAAAAGAGGTCCTTGAGGAAACCAGATCTGACCCTGCCCTGTCCCCCTCCTGAAGTCCTGACTTGCTGTATTGTAGATAAGTCACAGATGTACAGCAGTGCAGGACTTTTATGTGCAATTGCCTTGCTAGGCTTTAAGAAGAATGTAAAACTGAAAACTTTCAATTTCTGCTTATGAACCTGCTACCTTGAGACTCAAAACAGGGAAAATCAGCTACAGTCAAGTTCATAGCTTTAAATTTCTGGTGTGTTTTGAACTGAAAACTCCTCAAATGTTTACTCTAATTACCTCTTAGGATGGGTTATGAGTAATATGAAATAGATTTTGGAACTCCTAGCCTTTAAGGTAGCCTTTGGGCACTCCTGCAAAACAAGTTTTGCTGTGACAGCTTTAGCGCCTTCCTCTGACTCACAAGGGTTTTTCGTGATTGTGCGTAAAGCGTTTTCTGAACAGCTTCTAAGGAAAACTGCAACTGTCCCCCTATACTGAAGGACAAACATAATCAGGGGAGGAAGTTGTACCAGATCTTTTTTTTTTTTTTCTTTTAATTCTAAACTGTTCAACTTGATTTCAGTTAGAACAAGTGACTGTTGTTACCGTATTTATTTTCTTGTTCTTTCTAAATAGCAGAGAAACACTTATAATTGTTGCTGAAATTTGGGGTACTAAGCAAACTCTCTGGAAATCTTTCAGAAAAACCCACAGATTATGTATCTGGAACAGGAGCTGGAAAGTTTGAAGGCAGTGCTGGAGATCAAGAATGAGAAACTCCATCAGCAAGATATAAAACTAATGAAGATGGAAAAACTGGTGAGTTTTCCTTGGGGTCTGGCAGGTTTGGACCGTGTCCGAGTTATGTTCTGATCATGAACTCGGGCTGGTCAGACTTAGATGCAAGGATTAAATTTTTGTTCAAAAGGAAACACGAAATGATGATGGGACGTGCTCACATTGCTGTACAATTACATCTGCTTTGGGCTGTAATGTGAAGGGGGAGAGGGAATCACCAGATGCTGAAAAACCTTTTAACCTCTTAAGACAACTACTGGTTTGCATAAACTATTGCTAAGTTAGTACAGGGTTATCTGGAAGCCTCTTCACATTTCCCTTCCTCTTCCCTCTCCTCTTTCCCATCCCCCAAAGGAAAAAACCCCTTATCTGCTATGTTTGCTTGAGTGTTACAGAAGATACATTGCACTGCCAGGAAAACATTAACATGGAAATGATCCTAATTAACCAAGAAGGGATCAAATATGAAATGGAATAAATGTTTTCATCTGGAGTTGATCAGCTTAGGTCCATCGTTTTAGCTGTTGTCTTTAAGCTGCTTGTTTAGCTGCGTTCGCTCCTGATCTGTGCATAATTCCACGTGAAAAGGCAATTTTGGGGCAGAATTTCTTATTACTGCGCACGCTCGTGTTTGTGGTAGGACACCCTTATCCTAGGTGGGGCCTTTGAACACTGTGGTAATACTTGCTTAAGCAAGATTTTAATGAGGAACTAGAGGAGGAGGTTTGGATACAAAGGAATACGTTCGTGTCAGTTGTCAGTATGGTACCACATCATGTTGCCCAGGTCTACGATTACTAGTAAATTACTAGTAAACCTTCATCTCTTCTGACAGATGTTGGCCACAGTATAGAAACCTTTGGACCATCCAACCATTTAATCCCTGTTTTTCCTTAACTTTTGATAACATCCTGCAGCAATGAAGTGGAATCAGGGAAGGAACAGCTGTTTACGCAGGGGAGCTCTTGAATTTGTCCTATTAGCGTGTTATTTCTAGAGTCTTCTGTCTGCAACAGCTTCTAAAACTGCTGCCCATCACTAGAACGTGCAGGTTAACTGGTAGATCCCTTATACGGGCCTCTTGTGTTGGCCTCTAATCAGCACAAGTGGCACCATGCCAGCGTTACGCAAGGATAAGGTATAAGTAGGATCTATTTGACTATTGCGGACTAACAGGCCGTGCTGGCAGGTCAGTCTCGCGTTGCTCCGGGGTTTTGTGCTTCCTGTAACAAGGTCTGCGAACTCCAGATTATGAATGTCTCTGGTATCGAGGTACTGACTCAGCTGAGTGCATGTATGGATTTTATTTTAAACTGTGACCTTTCTTCCTAAGATGGAGAACAACACAATCTTAACGGATAAATTAAAGAAGGTTCAGCAAGAAAACGAGGAATTAAAAGCTCGTATGGACAAACACATGGAGCTTTCAAGGTGAAAAATATCTGTGGACTTTTAGATTTCTTACAAACCAGGGGAAGGTGTTTCTGTGTCAAGAAAGAAAATTCTGTGTAAATATTAGTGACTGGGATCTTGTAGTACTCTATAAAAGGCCACATCCCATTCTTCCCCACTGGTACCTCTACAAACGTGCGCTCCTATGTAGGAGAACAAGCAGGACAGATTGTAAGGGGGTAAAGGCTCAGTAAGTTCTTCAGTGCTCCAAAACAGTATTTTCAGGAAGAAAAAGCAACTTGGAAATACCATCTTGTGATAGATGGGCTCTTTAGGTACTACTGGCTTGTGAGTTAAACTGGTTTTACTTTTAACCACTTCAGTCAAGTGATTTGTCCCCAGTTGAGATCAGTGGAAAGACCAGTGTGTTTTATTTAGCAGCAACAGCAATATTTAACATGAATAAAATGGGTCAGAGGGTCTCCTGACTTCAACTATTACTTAAATGGATGGGAAAACTTGTCCAGTTTGAAGGAAACTGCGGAAATGCAGCTTCTGTGTAGAGCTGAACCTGCAACAGGACCCAAAGGCTCCAGCATGGGCATTTAAAAGCATCTGCTGTTGTAAGTAGGACAAGTCTCGCGTTTCAGATGCTTTTTCTGGCCTTTAGGGATGTTTCTTACTGGTACTTTCTCCTGCTTTCTGTAAGCTACCTGCTTAAATCCAGTGAGGATGAGAACATGCTAAATCCTCCTTGTAAGGAAGTAATGTAGTTGTAAGCCAAGTGGGGTTTATGCAGTTTCCACCTGTAACAATTAAGTTCAGGGCTGTAGCCTTCACCTTGGGTTACGTGTTCTGATGTAAATCTTATGTTTGCAGGCAACTTTCTACAGAGCAAGCCGTTTTACAGGAGTCGCTAGAGAAAGAATCAAAAGTAAACAAACGCCTGTCAATGGAAAATGAAGAACTTCTGTGGAAGTTGCACAATGGCGACCTATGCAGCCCAAGAAAACTGTCTCCCAGTTCTCCATCCGTGCCTCTTCAGTCCCCACGAAATTCTGGTAACTTCTCTAGTCCCACAGTATCACCGAGATGACATCTCTTGAGAGAAAGAAGGGATTGCATTTCATTTGTGATCTGCAGAACCAATCCTAACTTTAATCAGAGGAGAGCGAGCTATATTAGCCGAGCATGACCGCTAGATGTAACTGGAAACTATTTGGTGCAAAAATGGCGATAAGAGACTGAGAACGTGGGAGTAAGGCATTTGTGTTGCTCCTCCCAAAAAGACTTTTTAATGACCTCTATGGACATTGTTGCACAAAGCACTTACAGAGCAAGGAAAGACTTGTTCATTGCCTTCTCACCTAACGATAAGAAAAAGCTCAGGGGCTTAGAGATAAAGATCACCACCTTCATAGTATGTTCCTTATCACAGACACTTTTTTAAGGCTGTGTGTATGCGTGTGTGTGTGTGTGTGCGTGTGCGGTGGGTGGAACGGATGTAACACACTGTGCGTGTGTCTAATTGCTGCCTTCTTTGCTGTGTACGTAATAAAGGATAAAAGCTGAAGACTATACATTGACAAGTACTTCCTTAAACGCTGTTGTCAGTATGCATGCTTTTAGCAGAGTACCCTCACCGGCAATGAGGAGAAACTGCCACTTGTCCTGTGGGTCAGTTTCCTTCATCTTTCTGGCTTCTGTTCAGCAAAAAAATGGCATGAAAAGCTGCTTCAGCTGACTCATTAGTGTCTTGGCTGACTCGAGTATGCAACTTTGAATTAATTTGAAAAACAAACTGAATTGCAGCCATATTTCGCATGGATTCTTGGTTTAATATCCATGCATGGCTCTGACGTTTGAGGAGACCTTTTTTTGCAGATTTTTTACAGTGGATTTTGGCTTTCAAGTCAAGAGGGGTGTAGTCAGAACCACAGTAGCCCTTGGGGGCAGAAGTTATTAGTTGAGTTGCAGGTTTAAAAGCCTCTACCTGCCACTTTACCTGCTGAAAAGGAACCACTTATTTCCCCAAAACAGGATGTCCATTGCTACAGCCATCTGCTGAGGATAAAACAGATGTAGATTTGAAAGCCAAAGAGAAAAATGCAATAATTGTCATTAGGTGCATTCTTAACTCGGTTCTCTAGAAGAATCTTAAGTAATTTATGAATTCCAGTGTATCTGGTGACACACTTTGCCTTTTTAAGCATTAGCATTTGTATTAACGTTCTTCAGATTTTGGCTAAATTCACCTGAGGGGGAAGGTGGTAGCTGTGTATTTATCTTGCTAATTCTGCCATACTTTCCCTCTTGGACCGCAGGGTATCAGTGTTTTTTCCCATTCATTTGGCAAAAGATCCCGTACAAGAGATTCTGTAGAGTAGGGAAAAAAATTCGTCCTGGCTGCTGGAACGGGAGGCTGCAGGTGTCAGCATTTCTGGAAACGTCTTATGCTGAGCTTCAGCTTCAACAAGGTAGTTGCGTAGCCCTGCTGCACCCTTGGTCAGACCTGTTTAAGATGTCCACACTGTCCCTAGCGAACACCGGCGCAACCTCACATCAGCCTTACAGAGCACCGTCAAGGCTCACACAGCTGGGGTTTTACAGAGCCACTGCCAGGAGGGCGGTTACACCCCTGTTTAGCTAGTGCCGTTCGCTAGCTGTACTGGGAACTGCTGCAGTAAATCCTATCTGCTGAGCTGCCCTGTGCTTTTCAGCAGCTTGGGGACAGGAATCAAGGGGATGGAAGGTGTAGAGAACTCAGCTGGAGAACCACTTCAAACCATTTCACCCAAGACTTGAAAAATCTTGGCTAGAAATGAGGAATGCAGACATATAAGCAAGACTGTTAACAGTGCCTGTACATGAAGTAAACTCTTAATATAACTAAGCTTGTGATTGACTATATCATCATTAAATTTACTTAATTTTCCATAATGTACAAGTTAAAGGTGCAGTTTCTGTGGAACATTACGCTCTCTTTTATAAGGCACTGCACCTACCACTTGTTAGTGGTGTCTGTACTTAAAATGTTTTCTAGGGGTTTCAAATTTAACTATGAAAAAACCTCTGTGGGCTAAAGCTTGGCTTAAAGTATATCTTGAACATTCTTATTGTCTCTGGTCAAAGAGATTTGATGACATGTATTTGGGCTGAATGCTTAAAAATAAATTTTTTGTACTGATTGAAGGGTTTTTCTCCTGCTTGTATTAGTCAAATGATCTTCATAATCTAAGGAGGAACATTCCTCCAAACACTAACAACTTTTTAGTACCTGCTCACCACAGCAGAACAGCAATAGTGAAGCTTCACTGCACAAACTATTAATGTTCAGCTAACCCTTAAGAAATTTTAACTCTACCCTTGCTACTCTAATGCAGGTGGAAGTTACACAGAGCTTTCTTGTGATTATTAGCGATTCAGTTTGAGTTGGCTGTTAAAAAAAAAAAAAAAGAGAATGTAGGTAACATTACAGAATTAAGCAATAATAAAATAGTCAAGTACGGCTGGGCTTAATATAGGGACCTAACGTGCATATGCCAGGAAAGGCATCCTACAGGACTCGTCTTATTAAAATGCTCACCTTATTCAGGAATTTTTTTATGTGAGAAAAGCCACAGAGTCTAGCAATCTAACAGGTCATGTCACAAGAACAGCCATGGGTGAGAACTGTATTCTTGTAGTTGCAACGTTAGTGCCTCAAAGCATGCAAAAGGAGTGCATCCAAATGTCTGAAGATCAAATATAGTGTCCCCCTTCATGTAACAGAGAAGGGGAAAGCTCTTCCAGGCTACTAGTAGGGAACAGTACAGTACAGTGAATAATGCTAAGACTATTACTTTGTCAATAGTTTCCCTCTACAATGCAGGAGATTCCTCACCTCTAAACTTCTTGCAAGCAGAAGCTTTAAAGCTCTTACAAAAAAATGAAGACTCCTTGTATATAGAAATCAGACTACAGAAACACCTGTTTAGTGTTTGTTCTGTTGGTCCAAAAGAATTAAATCCTTCTGTTCATCTGTAAGCATCGTTTCAATATTTTTTTCTGTTTGAGTATTAATATTTCAAGCTTTAACTTAAATACCACATGTTAGCAAAGGCTTTGTTCGAGTCAGTAACTTTTACATAATTTTTCGTAATTCCTTTAGCATGAAGTTTCCTTCAGGAAAAGCTGGAGACCTGCTCACCATAAATACATGCCAAAGGTCTAGTGCTAGTCAAGCAATTAAATGATTTTCTTCAGATACTCAACTTTAACTAGTAGTTCCAACTCTAATGATAAGTTTCAAAGGAAGTTACAGTGACATTTGTATCTGTACCAAAATAGCTTGTTGCCATTTAAACTACTCATAACATGGTCCACCTCCCTTCAATGCTTTTCCCTAAAGGTCTTTGTGTGAGCTGCACGATATTTGCTGTAAAATTTGAGGTGAATCATTTCCTTATGCGAACTGAATACTTGAAGTGTCTCATTACGAACACCAAAGACACTTGCATGTGAACTGGCATCGTGCAATTCATGCAGGAAATTCCTTCTAGACAGTAAGTAACCACTGATCTTTAAAACTGTAGTTTTGTGTCAGCCAGGAAATCATTTGGGGCTGAGCTGGAGTTAAAAAGGTCATTGGAAAGTTGAAATAATTATTGAACCCTTAAGAAACAAACACCTTGTGTCCATTGCTGCTGCCTTGCCTTAGTGGAGTGGCGACTGAGGTGTGGAACCAGAACTAACAATACTGGCAGGTTTAGGCATGTGACTTCTGACAACTCAAATTTCATTTCCCAGGCTTCGTTCTCTTACCTGGTGTCACTGTTCATTTCTGCAGAAGGGTGGAATTGCATCAATATAAAAAGAATAAGGCCTGCCCAGGAGGCTTTTGGTAAAATAATAACTACATAAAATATATAGTAACATAATTATCAGTTTACGATGATGAGAATTGTTTTGATGTTTGCAGGGGGAAAACAAAAAAAAAACCGCAACCAAAAATTCTCCCTTAAAGGCACTGCTTCTGTAGTTATAGTCTGTCTTGAGAATGGCATGTGATTGGTACCCCTAACCACGGAACCCGAGGGAGACTGCTGGAGCAGTGGTGCAGCAAGGGATTTACGTCATCTTTTCCTCTCCTGCCAGACTGTCACTGAGGAAGTGATGTTACCAAACGAACTGCTGTTCTGCTGGACAAGTCTGAACAGGTGACACTATCTCCCACTTGCTAGGATGTTCAAGGAAATCAACTGTTGAATTAAAGGCGCTAAAGCACTTTGAAATTTAAGAAGCTGGCGCAGGTCCTGTAGTTCAAAGGGAAGTACATTGCTCTGATAAATGGAAGCGCTAAGAAGGAACGCACACGTTGCACAGCCTCATCCAGAAGCTCAGGGATTGTCGAAGTCACTTTGGTCAGATTGAAGTCTTCCCTTAAAACAAAAAAAAAGTACAATGACCTCTTTTAGGTATTACTGTGAACTTGTGTAACAACTATTTAGTCATTTGGGTAACAGTGTATCAATCTTCAGACCTTTTAATAGCATTCAGAAGATTAACAAGGGCCTCCCTCTTACGCCTTCAAAGCTGGTCATTTGCTGGCTATATTTAAATTTTTTTTTGGTAACTACTTTGTTTCCAGAGGCCAACAATATTACAGGCACCTGGGGAGCGTTCTCCGTGAAACCTATTTCATGAGTCATGCAGAAAGTCATTCTAGTCTTTATCATGGATATTTATCATCTCTGTTACCTTGTTTTAGGTTCCTGCATGCTGAAGAAAAAGCTTTCAGTGAGCTTGTTTAACGTTTGCAGTAGCCACGCTAACAATTCCGGTTACTGCAAAACTGCCACTTTTACGTGAGTACTTCCCAGATACCACTACTCAAAACAGCACTGCCCCCATCCGCTCCAAGGTCTGAATTACCTGGAGCAAAGGGCTTATGTCAAGCCTTCACCAGAAGGCGGCTTTAGGAATTCTAGCCCAACGCAGGCTGAAGCACAGCAAAGTGTGCAAGCAAGGGACTGCTCAGAATAAGCTGGTTTTCACATGCCTTGTAAATAATGCAAGCCGTTTTAAGACTTCTTCTGTCACACAGTTACACTGCTGAGCCGATGTGCATCGGAAGTTCTAGCTTATGTGAATCCGTGCTTGAGCCTAGGAAGAAAAAACGTTGCCAAAATGTCCAACAAGGTGGTTGTTAGCAACTTCTTACCTTTTCTTTGGAAAGGCTCTTTCCTTGCATTGGTAACTAAACCCAGGGTGTGAGAAGCAATTCCTGATTTATCCAGGCATAGTTCTGTGTAAACGAAACTTCTTTCCACATCTTTCCTTTTCTCCAAAGTAAATTAATACAATCGAGTTGAACTTGTTATTAACCTGAGAAGAGATTCCGCTGTATAATTGAACATTATTCTAATGTTACATTGGGGTTTTTTTTCTTCTGTAAATGATACTATATAAATAAATAAAAGCTTTACCTTCAGCAAACATAAATTGCCACATAATTTAGTGAACCTAACACCCTACATCTATTGAGGAGTGAACTCTTAAGTAAGCTACATATTAGAAGGTTGTAAGAATGCAACAAC